GTAGTTTTATGCTTCTACACATCATTATATATATATAATTGTAAATCCCCAAGTTGAATGCAAATTTAACATGTTTGTAAGGTTAAGGTGAAGTCAATTCCCTACATTTTTCTTTATAAGTTCAATCCATTTTTATTTATTGTTTTACGAAAGTTAAATTCGTAGGTTAAGTAACAACTAATCAATTTATCATTTCTTTTATCAAATAGAGGAAGTAGTTTTATAATTCTGTTTGCCATAAACTAGTAATCCTTGTGGTTCGATAACCCCCTACTGTAGCATTAATCTGCAATGATGAATATGCTATTGTTATAAGTGGTACACATTTGTGCACATCATCTATTAATTAGACTGTTGGGAAAATCCGTGGCATATAGATCAGTTTTTTTTTACACGTATTTGACAAACTTTCAACTGCTTATACAAAAGCAAAGAAAAGACTAATTGACAATCAAGATATATGAGTTTTTTCTTAATTTCCGTGCATAATTGGAATGATACATGAAATTGGAAAGTTGTAAGTCAAATTTGTTATTGTTCTAAAGAAACTTATTGTTATATAAGTTGTTGTCCAATAATTTAAAGATTTTATTTTAATTATTTAAAATAAATAAATAAATTATTAAATACATAAAGCACGTGTATTTATTTATTTTATTGAAAACCTGAATTTCTATAATAATATATGAATCTAAAAATTTAATTTGATCTTATGGGACATACAAATAAATGATTGTTTTGTACCCAAACATACATACATAATGGAGAATCAATTTTTGATTGATTCGATTATGATCCCCAAGTCTGAAAATAAAAATAATATGTTTTATTATATATATAAAGTAAAAGGATATTTTTATTGAATTTTCGGACTATTAAGTTTCTAGGATCGAACCTTCTTATACTAGGATCGATTAGTATAAGTATGTGTTTATAATGTTAAATGGGTAAATTAATGATTAATTAGTTACTAGCTAATTTAATATTCATATTATGTAAGGGTTAGTGGCTACCAAAGTGACCTAACCATAATGATTGATGAATATTAATTTTAGTAGTAAACATAATTAATGATGATTTAGTCACTGGCTAATTTTATTTTCATATTATGTAAAAGTTAGTAGCTGCCAAAGTGGCCTAACCATTATGGTTGATGAATATTAATTTTAATAGTAGACATAATTGCAATATTTCATGAATTATTGATGCTTATGATTTCTTATGATATTTATGAATATTGAGTTTATTTAATCATGAGAAATAATTTCCCAAAGGGAATTGATCTTCAAGTGATTAAATGAACATTAAGGGATTGTATGTATTTTTTAAATGAGTAGATATAGGATATCCAAAAGTAACTTGTCTGTTTAATTAAATAATGCATCACCAATAAAGGTATACATATAAATACATGTAAGCATCATTATTAGTATTTTATAGTTGCCACCCAAGGAGTAATATAGTTATAAATTGTATTTATATTTTAAGTTATATATATGTATTGTTAACTCAAAGCATTATTGTTGTGAGTATTTTATCTTATTATGTTTGTTTTATTGTATCCCTTAATTCGCATGTTACATCTGTTCTAATTCTCAATAGGACTAACTTTTCATAATGGAATGAGTAAGTTAAATTCAAAATTTAGGTGTGTTAAATCTTGATTTAACATTTTAAATTGAGAAACCTACTGTTACTGATAAAGACAGTGAGGAAGAAAAGATACTTCATAAAGCTTGGGAGAGATCAAGCAGATTAAGCATTATGGTTATGCAAATTATTATTCCCCATAGTGATATATAGTGCTAAGGAATATTTAACTATAAGAATGTTTTCGTATTGTAGATAAATATTTAAAACGAAAATTATTAATTGATATCACTACTATGCATTTGTGTTGGTACTCGTACCATGTATGAACATAATTTTGAGATGACTAATGTTGCTACAAAATTGAGAACCTTGTGGATGATTATGGATGAAAATTTCTTATTCAATTTATTCTCAATTTTTTGTCTACTTAGTATGGGTTATTTCGAATTAATACTATTAAGACAAGTGAAAAGAGAAAGAATTGACCATTATATTAATTTAGGAGGAGACAAGGCTTAAGCAGCAAGTAATCATTATGTTTATCTCATGACTCAAGAAGCTAGAAAGAAATTTGGGAATAAGCTTAAAAGGGCATTAAGTGAGTAAGACCTAATATTAAAGATTTAGGTCAATCTACTAAAAAAAAGGAATGTAATAATGAAAAAAGTGTCATTTATGTATTGAACACTTTTAGAAAGATTACATGAAACATAAAGAATGATTCGAAAAAGAATAGTAAGCTTTTGGCTTTTGTATATTTCGAATTATTTATTGAAATTCTTTCTAATACATGATAGGTTGACTTAAGTACTAATATTTATGTTTCTAATAGATGCAAGGATTTCTTATGGCCTAAACCACAAAATCAAATTCTTATTTATGAGAATTGGGAAAAAGTTTTGTTGAAACCATTGTGACATTATGTTTAATGTTAGACAGTGGATTTTATTTAAATTATTTTAAACTTTTTATGTTTATTTAATTTCCCATAATTTGATTTTATTTCAAAACTTTATGTTAATGATTTTTTATTTAAATTTGATAATGATGTTTATTCAAGAAATTTTAATTTGTGAGTTATGGTATTATTGTTGATGATTTCTGTAAATTCAAACTTGATAGTTTATTTATTAAAAAACCTTTTGATCTTGCATCATAATGTTAGAATTAAGCATAACTCAATTAATAGAAAATTTATCTTTCTTGTGGCATAAAAAATTATGTCAATATATAGTTAATTTTTCACATTATGGATATATCTATTTGTTGCATGAAAAATCTCAAGCAATGGGTACTCTTGAAGTATACATAAATGAGATTGAAAAACAATTAGATAGAAAAGTGAAAATCATAAGGTCATATAGAGGTGATGAATATTATGGAAAGTATGATGAAACGGGTTAATACTCTAACCGTTTGCTAAACTCCTTGAAATGCATGGCATTTGTGCTCAATACACTATGCCAGGCATGCCACAGCGGAAGCGTGTAGCTGAAAGGCGTAATCGTACTTGTAGGTGCAAAATTTCTTTCCATTAAAAGAAATAAAAAGAAAAATACAACTCTTTCAAAACAAGCAATTATAATACTCAGAGAAAAACGTATATTGTTTGATCATTTTATTGGAGGTCTAGGCCTCTATTTATATTAAGCAAGGTGGTGGAATTATGATAGAACTCGCCTTACTTGTCCTCCAATTTATTCCATATACAACATTCTTTACAGTTAGAATTCTTTCATTTTTACAATTATTTCCATGTAAAACTTTTCTTGCACATAACTTGCCTTCTTTATTGAATCCTTTGTCTAGCAGACTGGTCTGTCTTTAAATGAAGTTGGGCTGAATACAGCTTGGTCCAGATGACTCAGCCAATTGGCCAGAAGTTCAACATTAGTGACCCTGGGCTGTTGACGTCTTTATCCAGGCTTGAACAGGGCTGGATTCTTGCAGCCCATTAAGAAAATAAAAACAAAGCTTCAATTATAGCCACGTGGATGACCTTCACTAGATAGTTTGGCTATCTAACCCCTTAGGTCGAAAGACTCTAGCACATCCCTAAAAAAAAACGGCTAAACAAGCACAATAAAAAATGATAGGGAGTATCACTCGTAAAGAGAATAATAAATCTATTTCGGCAAAAGAAGTATAAGCATATGTACTTGTCAAATCCTCCAAGACTTATCTTTCAAAGAATAGAGGAGCTTCATTTAAAAGCTTCGTTGGTATGGGTAGGGCTAAATCGGAACCGAATCAATTTCAATGGATCCAAAAAATTTGAAACTGCACCCGGAATCATTGGACCCTAGAACCAAACATAACAAAACCATAAAATACTGGTTCAGTTCGATTCTAGAACTTCAAAAACCTCATCATCATCATCCATAGAAAAGCCTACATTCTTAATCGTTTCATCTGGCAACATTTCTTTGATAGCTTCGTTTGTCTCCTCAACAAACCCTGCCTCCTGCATGTTTGGCTCAACCAAGTAATATTCCATCAATCCGCATTTCATTAAGTAAAGTCTTAACCACGTCAGACCGCTTAAAAGCGAAAACTGATTTAGAGTGCGCTTGATCCTCATCAAGGGCAGTGTACCAAAAATCTCCAATGCTGAATCCAATTTTCTCAAATTCACAAGGTGCTCAATCATAATTGTGTATGTTCTAAAATTAGGAAGCGCCCCTTCATCAATCAATCAATCCTATAATATGATTGAAGCAACTATAGATTCCCCATGATATTTTTACTGTGATGCACAAAATATATATATTTTCTAATGACGGGCGATTAATTGGTGTTTGCACCCTAAAAATAAATTTTACTTAGCCATATGTAAGTTGCTCAATGGCTTGTGTTGTATTAGATTATTAGTTCGTTATCAGTATAAGAATTTGTGCAATATGATGATAAGTTATATATGGCACGTATGATAATTATTTTGAAGCATGTGGTTGAAATAAAGTGGGATAAGGATGAAAGAATTTGGTTTAGGTTTAAATTCAAATATGCAGAATTTGAATTTAAATAGGAATTTAATTCCTAACTATTAGGTGACTTTTACTAACTGTCTGAAAATGGATATAAAAGATGTTGTAGAAGACGATGGAAAAATCCCCGACCAACACAAATTTCCTATTTTCTACAATTTCTGTTCTTCTGTAATTTCTGTTTTTACTGCATTTTCTTACAATGTAATTTTATTTGTACTTCTCTTTTTCCATAGGAGTAGTGTTAGAATAGAACTCTTATTCTTGTACTTTTGTATAAGACTACTTCTTATTAAATAAAGTGAAAGCTTGGATCTCGTGTCTCCTCCATTTTGTTTTTATAAGTTGTTCTTGGATTAGATGGATGCTTGGACAATTTGTTTTATCTCCTCCGTTTGTTCCAAAATCTAGAATTGAAGAATGCTTGAACAATTTTTGTTGTTCCCTTCTTCAAGTTCTAGCCCTTGCTATCGAAAGTCCTCTTTATTGAGGCATTGAAGAACCTAAACGAAAAGATCATCATTGTCTTTCAACAGTTGCCTGATTCACAAAAGGGCCGATTATGAATTCGGTCAGCACCAAGGATAGTTTGGTTATCTAACCCCTTAGGTCGAAAGATTCTGGCACGCCCCTAAAAAAAAAAAAAAAAAGAAGAGCCAAACAATTGGAAAACCATCAGCTTCTCTTGTGACAGCTGAATATGGGCATCGCATGCTATTACTGCTAGAAAATCCACATTTACATAAATGTTTGTGTATGTGCATGTATTTTTGTGTTAGAGGAACTAGATTACACATGTTTTTTTTTACAATTTACCAAGTTTTTTGTTTGTTTCCTAATGGTATTAGGTTTTCCTTATTATGTTAGGACCCCTTATTATAAATACATGCAAGTGCTTGAGGTGATTCATTATTATAAAAAAAATTTCGTTGTTGTCATACGTTCTTAGCTTTTGCTCCTTATATCTACGAACCATGTCGACTTCAAAGACTGTGGTGCTGAGATGGTGAGACTTTTGAAGTGGAAAAGGCAGTAGCATTGGAGTTGCAGACCATCAAGCACATGATTGAAGACGATTGTGCTGATTCTGTCATTCTTCTGCCTTGCGTAACTAGCAAGATCTTGCCTATGATTATTGAGTACTGCAAGAAGCACATCAAGACCCCCATGTCCGAAGACAAGACTTCTAACAATGCTCTCAAAACCTTTGACGTCGACTTTATCAAAGCCGTTGACCTGACCATCCTCTTCGAATTCATGTTGTATGCAATGTATCTAGACCTCAAGAGCTTGTTAGATCTGACTTGCCAAACTGGGGTGGATATGATGAAAGACATGACTCCCGAGGAGATTCACAAGACTTTTAACATTGAGAATGACTATACTCCGGAAGAAGAATAAAAGGCCTGCATGGAGAATGCATGGGCATTTGAGTGAAACATGAAGCAGCTATGGATTACCCATGATTTTATTTTTTTTTTCGTTGTCAATATCCATAATAGGATTACTATATATATATACATGCTATTTAAATACAAGTTTTTTTCTTTTTTTTTTTTTTCTTTTTTTGCTTTGTGAAAACTTTCAACTTATTGCAATACTAAAATTGCTAGTTACATTTATAAAGTTGAATACTCACCAAGTCTTTCAATAAGGAGAGAAAGAAAGATGATAAAGCTGAAGGATATAACATTATGGGTAAAGTACAACAACACCTCCTGAGATTTGCTAAAAGGACACTCAGATAAAACATAGCCAATTTTGGGACAATGACACCCCCTGATAATATTTGTAAGCCAAACAGAGCCTTAAAACATATGAAAAGTCAACATTATCCTTCACTATTTTATTAATTTTAATTGTAAAATATTAAAATAATTAAATGACTAAATTATCCTCAACATCCAATCAACCCTACAACCGCGCCGGCGACACACCAAACTCGACAATCACCAACACATAATCGTCCCCACAACCACAACCACCACCCCCCCCCCCCCCCACCCCTACCCCCAAACCCAAACAACCACCGCCTTCCCCTTCGCCTTCGAGTTCTCCAACAGAAGGCAAGGATCAAGCTTTTAGTCTATCACCAGTGGAAATATATGCTGAACTTCTAGGTCTACAACAGACCAAGCCCAATCCTCCACACCGCCACAAATATCCAACGCAATCAATCCCTATTTTCCCCATTCATTTAACTAATACCCTATCTTTCTCTCGTACAAAAACCTTTCACACACATATATCACCACCACAAATCAACCCCACTGCATATACCGCCGCCAGTCCATCAACATCATCAACTGAACCACAACACCAAAAATGGAAGATAGAACTGCCAAAAATGGACCGGCGAAGAGAGATCCAGTAAGATCCAATTTCAATCTTACTGGCCAATAGATTTGTTGATGACGACTTGCAATAGGATCAATGACAAAGTGGCGAGAGACTCGCCCTCAAAAACGGCAAACTCGCTGTCACCAGATCCATTTTTCGAGCATCCTTCGTACAAAACGCCGCCGACGGACTCACCTCTTTGGCCAAAGCCGCTCGCTCTCCATTTCGTATTCCAAGCAGAAAACCTCTTCCCCATAGAATCTTCTCTCCGAGTCAAAAACAACAAACTCGCTGCCACCAGATCCGTTTTCCGGGCATCTTATGCGCTCTCGAACAACTCCATACCATGGCCATCATCTGCTGTGACCTCAAACCTGAGAACGACAGTCCGCTGCCGCTGCCCGTCGCCGCCGCGAGTGTGTGGATATATATTTATGTGTGTATTGTATATATATGTGTGTCTGTGTCTGTGTCTGTGTCTGTGTATTATATAAATAAAATAAAATAAAAAGGAAAAATGGAAGAATGAAGGAAAGATAGAACAGAGAAAGGAGAATGAAAGAAATTATTTAAGGTTAGAAAGGTAATTTTAACAATTACATGGATCAATATAAAAGTCAGAGGGTAAAATGTCAATTCATTACTATTGGGGTGTCTTTGGTACCTGTATGAAACTTGAGGGGGTGTCATTGTCTCAAAATAGGCTAGATTTCATCTGTGTGTCCTTATGGCAAACTTCAAGGGGTGTTAGTGTACTTTACCCTAACATTATAAAGTTGTAGTCTGAGTAAACAAAATATCAAATACCTGGTGTGCATTATGGAACTATATCTCGCAAGCAAATAATAAGCGACTATGTAGTTCTCAGATCATCAAAGAAGAAGCACACAGACAGCTGGATTCATGGTTTGGTTTCGAATATTCTTCAATTGCGCTAAAGATCGCAGAAGCCAAACGATTTTTTCGGTTGAAATTTTGGGTTAGACAGAGTACAACGTATGATTGAACTAGGAAAAGACACATAGATTTGGGTTGGGCTTCAAATAATTGAGAATTGAGCCTGGCTATGTAAGTGTAGGTTTGGCCCAAGCATACCGTCTGGGCTTCAGGTGAACCCAACTATAACTATGGACTAGAGTTTTTTTCTTTTTAAACTAACCATTATATTTTTCAAACTTAGTAACGCTTTTTAACCAATCATGTTTTGATGTTTGATCAATATAAAACTTATTTGTTAGGTACTTAACAATCACTCATCCCCGTGTCAAATAGTCAATTATATCATTTTCTTATAAACAATGATGATAACGCTGTCAACACAATTAATACATGTATACAATGACCATATGGTATATCATTGTAGACATTGTAGTGTTGGTGATGTTGCTGCCAAAGAATACAAAAATAGAAAAAAGAAAGAAAAAATAAGTGTTTTGAGGACCATAGAATAGGAGATTTGTGAAGTATCTTACATGTGAATGTCAACCATTAAAAATAGGAGAGATGGCACCAACTCGAGGACACTTCGTTCTTATAATCGTTAGGAGGAATTTCATCACTTCTTAATGATAATAAGAAAATTCAGTATTGTCTGTAACTCTTTAATTTTACTTATTTGTACATTTAATTCATATAACGCTGAGTTTAGTGTTTTTTTTTTTTTTTTTTTTTTTTTTTTTTAAGAGGAAAATGAATATATTTTCTTGATTCCGGTACCAGTACTTTCAATTTTCGTTGCAACCATGGGTGAAAATTTTAAGGGCCTTTTTTAATATAGTAGTGACTAGTGATAGAAAGGGGGGAAAAAATTACAACTTGAAAAGGAAAAGTTTTGGTTTAAGGTAAAATTATTTTCTTTAGAGAATAACTTTTAATAGTAATTTTTTAAAAAACTGTTTACTACTACTTAAATTCTTTATGGCCGTATTCGGTGCATAGGATTGAAGTTTTAGAATTGGAATCAGTGAAACTAGAGAAAAATTTAGTTCAATTTTGTGAGTTGTTTTTCTCCACATTCCACCAATACCAATTCTAAGGCTCCAAATCTATGCAACCGAAGGTAACTTAAACAATTTTAGGTAACTAAACTAAATGTTGAATTTGATTTTGGTAGGATAATAAAACTAATGTACGCTTAAACTTCAAGATTTAGTAGCTTCACCGGCACCTTTTTTCTGCCAAGAAAGACAAGAAAATTGCCGATAAAGGAATCAAAAAACTGCCGAAAAACAACTAGACTACCATAACCAGGGCAATCACACTGCATGTCTCATGAGGGAAATATTGAGGTCTTTTTCTTCCCTCCAAAACTGTAGACGTCCCATCCTTGCACTCGTAGTTGTAAATGCATTCTGTCAAAACCATCATATAATCAACATTCAAAGTATTACATATAACCAACTAAAATAGAATCAATAATCCCTCAAACTAAAATTTGGTCTAAAGCAATACATCGAACAGCTTCGATGCAATGTCATGCTGTGTCATTTTGAGAGCCTAAATCCAAGACAACCTATTCAAACAAAAGAAAAAAGTGCATGATATCATTGCCAGCTCTGCATATAACGCATTAAAATTTGGCAATATAAATAATTTCATCTTACACTATTTTAGCATCCAAAAAGCAGCAGCATATTTGCATTCAAATAAATACTACTTACAATCTATCAACCATCTGACAGTAGCATATCTACATTCAAATAAATACTCCATCTGTCCCAAATTGATAGATTGTACATCATTTTAGGTATTGAAAATGTTGAAGAGATGTGTATTAAAATGTTTGTTGCATTATATATGACCCAAAGATACCTACTTATTAATTGGATTAGATGGCCCTCAGGTTATTGATATTTTGACAGTTACCTTCAAAAAATAATGTCTCAACATGACATAAAAACAACTAGACGTGACCCTTCGCCACCCCTGGTCATATCATACATCGTAGTATTTATTTGAATGCAAATATGCTACTGACACAGTTCCCAAAGGCAACGTTTAATTTGGGACTGAGGGAGTACTACGTACAATCTATCCCTAACAAATCTCACTCACATGTAAAGGTGGCTTACCAGAAAAAGCAAGGTTGTGCCTTCACCCTGACAAACTGCAGCAAAGAGGTGCAACACTTCCACAGAAATATGTAGCGGAGAATATTTTATCAAAATTTTTGAGTATATAGATAAAGACGCAAACCTGATTAACATCATGACTCTAGCTCTGGATTGGGAAGAAAACCAGACATAAGAACCAAAAATTCGTATGACCACATTTCCAAGCTGAATCATATCACAGGATCACATTAGACTTTGCAGGGTGGGGAGTTTGGAAAAGATGTACTTTATAATTAATTGCTCATTTTGGTAAAAACATTAGAAATTGTAATGTTGGATATGTAGGAAGATTCAAACTCACCAGACCATAAGATTTGAAGGAATAGCTAATGATAGAAAGCCGACAACATTTTTCATACCCTCCTTAGAAAATCCTGTCCAAGTCTTCTGACATGAAGGCGAAAACTTGATATAAATCGCCAAAATCAATACATTGATCCAATAAGAGATGGCATTGGACAGGGCAGCACCTTTGTTGCCAAAGCCAACTCTAAAAACCAAAATCCAACAAACCAAGACATGAACTAAGCTCGTAAAACCTGTGCTTATCATCAATGACTTTACACTATTTTGAGTCTGCAAGAACCTGAGTTGACACTGGAGGATGCCATAAGGGAAAATGCTAGGGATCAACCAACGAGCATATATTCCCACGTGTGTTGAAATCGCCAAGTCTTGTCCACAGCTAGTTAAAATGATTGGATTATACAATTATCTACAGTATCCTAGGGAAGCCATGATGATTAATTATAGGGCAAAGAACAGATTGAAACTATTCTATTACACACTAAAATTGAAGGATGCATTTAGTCACTAACAGACGAATCATTAAAAAATGATGGATCACTCACTGTTTCATCCATTAGTGACCTGCCTTGTTCGGACACTGAAGTTGGGTGGTGTCGTCATTGTCATTGGCATCAGTTGGCCCTATACCACATGCAACCATAACTAGAAATTCAAAGTCATAACCAGAGAACCATATTGACACACATTGGACCCAAACATCAATTAGCCTCATTCAGAAATTCAAAGGCATGTATACCCAGAGAACCATCAAGTAAGCGAAAGCCATATATGGACTTAATTGAGATATATCTTTGCTTGATATCTCAGTTTACGATTAATTTATTGAGCTGAAAAATAAAAAAAATAAAAAAAAAAATAAAAAAAAATATATTATTGAGCTTTGACTAAATAAGTTAATGAACATTATCGACTTGAGTGGATGAATATGTA